GTGGAGTCTAACTGCTCTCTCGCTCTCCTCTCATCCCATGTATCTGCGTATGTGGACATCCTGCCATGCAGGGCAGGAGATGCTGTGTCTGAGGACATGTAGGGTGAGTGACTTAATAACCAGTGCAGCAGTAGAGAGGGTTCAGCAGGCCTACAGGCTTAGGTGTCATTATGAGTCCAGGTACCCTGAGCATGCCCAAGACCCAGGTCTCAAAAAACACTCATGGTCTTGAGTCTGCTCCCATGGCGATCGTTATGCCAAGTCATATCCCACAGTCCTGTGGTTATGCCCAGTATCTCAGGTAAGCTTTGAAGGCTGACTCTGAATGTCTGAGCCAAGGTGTGTGGTCCTTTGCTCATTCCTCTCTATTCCCCTGATTCTTCTTTCTTTCTTTCTTTCTTTCTTTCTTTCTTTCTTTCTTTCTTTCTTTCCTCCTCCTCCTCCTCCTCCTCCTCCTCCTCCTCCTCCTCCTCCTCCTCCTCCTCCTCCTCCTTCTCTGTATAGAAGCTTTTTATTTTCCACTCCCTGTTTATGATGCCATGTTCCAGATAGTTTTTAAAGGGATAAGTGACACACATGATACTGGATGTGGGAAAACTGTTCGGCGTGATAGCTTTGATGTGTGGCTGCATCACCATATGAAGGGATGGGTCCGTTCCTAGACTCCCAGTGTCCTTGTAGCCCAGATCAGCCCTCTTTGTACCCCTCCTCCAAGCTCTCCTGGAGGACTGGGATTCTGTGGGGGACCTGTGGTGATATCTTGCTTGTACAAATAAAGCTTGTCTGAAGATGAGAGGATGGAGCTTGCCACTAGCGAGATATCGCCACAGGGAACAGAGAGTGGGGGTGGAGAGAATGCTCCTAGATGGAGGGCTTGGCATGGTGGGCAGCAATGACAGCAGAAGACATGGTGAGTTTGGCCACCTGACCTTGATGGTTTCACCCGTCCTCAAGAGGGCTTCTCTCATTAGCCTCATCCTGTGCAGCCCATGTCTCCTCCCACCACAGGGGAACTGCTCAGGTCACTAAGACATCCCTGCCACAGAACCCGATTTCTACCAACTTCTCTGGAGAAAAATTTAACTTGGCTAAGTTTGAGCCTTTCTACTTCTTATCTTGATGGCTAGTATAGTGGGAGCATTCTGGTGACCCTGGGCACCTGCTCTAGGGCCTCACTTTCTCCTCACCCTGAGTGTTCAGAGTCAAATTGTTTCTTTTCACCACTGCATAGTGATATTTTGTTTGTAATCTAGCAAATAAAGCTTGCCTGAAGATTAGAGTGCAGAGCTAAGTCACTAGTTAGCCACACACCTAGTTGAGAACTAAGCCACTAGTTAGCCACACACATACCTAGGCCACTAGTTAGCCATAGATGACAGGCAGTGGTGGCCACACCTTTAATTCAAGACTCAGCAGACAGTGGCAGATGAGTCTCTGTGAGTTCAAGGCCACCCTGGGCTACAAGAGAGTGAGAGTTCACACCTTTGATCCCAGCATTTGGGATGACATGCTTTTAATTCCAGCACTAGAGAGGAATATGAGGAGGAGCTCAGTGCAGTCTCAGGGCAGTCTGAAGTTTGGTGGAGAGCATTGCAGTCTGCAGTCACGCTGAGGACAGGACCACCCCCATTTGGTCCTTGGTGGAGGTAAGAACTCTCTAGGTGCTTGGCTGCTTTGCTTTTCTGATCTTCAACTTGAACTCCAATATCTGTCTCTGGGTCTTTATTAATTGTGCCACATCATTGTGCTAGTCTTGACTGCCATCTTTCTTTCCAGGCTGTGATAAGTGACACTGGGTAGATTTTTAACAAGACTGCCTGATACAGGTTACTGGTCTTGCGTAATTGAGTCACCCAAACTGTAACAGTATCATGTCCTTGTCTAGAAACCCTGTCCCTCATCTACCTCCCACCCTGGGCCACCTTTCTGAAATAGCCTCTGTCCCAGGTTCCCTTCTAAGATACCTCTCCTGGTGATGCAGACGATGAGGATTCAGAGACTTCAGGCTCAGCTCCCCAAAGCTCAGGCTGCACTCACTCCCGGAATACAAAGACCACACAGTGTTTACTTATCCAATAATACTTATGTGCTTCCCTGAGTGTGCCAGTGAAGAACACTCACCATTCCAGGGTACCAGAAAGGTGGATAAGGTCATTCTGATGGTGACACTCGTTCTGCCCTGTGCAGGCCATGTCCCTTGTCCTGCTGGCATCCTCTTGAACACTTCCCCACATCAACCCATCAGACTGCCTCTCCTTGTGGGAGTCTTGGTACACAGGGCTGTGTTCCTGAAACAGGGCCAGGAGTCCTCTCTAAATGAGACACAGGCATGAGGACTCCTCCCACTGTCCCTGCTGAGTCAGCTATTTTCACCCTCCCTCTCCAGGCAGGTAGATCTGGTCTGAGGACATTTACTGTCAGGGAAGGGCCTGCCTTCTGGGTGTCTTGCTGCTGTGTTCTTGCTGTGGTCTGCATAGGTATGCTCAAAAGTTCATGTGTCAAAGGCTTGTTTCCCAATGAGTGCTGTTGGGGGTTGTTATGCACCTGTAGGAGGGGTCCTTTGTGGGACAAGGAGTCCTTAAGTCATTGGACAGGCTTTTAAGAGGGATGATGGGTCTCTGGCACTTCTTCCTGATGTGATCCATACTGCTTGCTCTTCTATGTTTTCCCAAACATGTCTGTTGATGCTGTCTGGTTTCCTCACCAAGAACCCAAAGCCACGGTCTCCTGGTGTTAGATCAGATCCCCCAAACCACATGTAAAACCAAGCCTGACTGCAGTGTCGTGTCCTCGCCCCCACCCCCCCAAGGGGCCATGGCTGGTTATGGCTGGGGTTTGAATTGTGGGGACAGGAATGTGGTATCACAGCTTTTTTATTATGTTTTATTATGCAGAATCAAATCATGAAGACCAGGTTTAAAAGGAAATTAATGTTGCTTCTCTGAGTATCCGCATCAGTAGTGGGTGAGTGGTCAACCAGGGGTCCATGGTCCCAGATGATCCACTGGGAAACCAGGATGGAGGTACCCAGTGCCTGTCTGGGCCTCGGTGAATGGAAAGAACATGGTGTGTAGCCCTAGGAGGCCTGCAGTAATTCCAGAGCACTGGGAATTGACTGAATGGGTGCTTGCTCTGTTTAAGCCCCGTCTGCGAACACAGAAGCCAACCCAAAGAGGCCTGAGATGAAGAATGATCCTCACTGTAGCCTCCCTTCCCACTGTGAAAACATCAGCTACTAGTGCGGCCCCAGGGATTTGCTCCTCTTTCATGTCTGGATCTCAGGACCTTCCTGCTCCATCCATCCTCCCGTCTGTGAACACAGAAGCCAAACGGCCTGAGATGAAGAATGATCCTCACTGTAGCCTCCCTTCCCACTGTGAAAACATCAGCTACTAGTGTGGCCCCAGGGATTTGCTCCTCTTTCATGTCTGGATCTCAGGACCTTCCTGCTCCATCCATCCTCCTGGCTAACTGAAGCACATTTGTCCCAGATACCATTTCACTTGGGTTCTCTATCTTCTTTCTACCCGGAAGTCTCACTGGACCAAGCCTCTGCCTAAGCCTTGGGTCCAGTGCTCCTCCTGTCTCTCTTCTCTCTAACCCCTGTCCCTATCCCGTGCTTCAGATGCAGAGCTGGGCTCCATCGTGGTCATAGGATTCCAAACACTCCGCTTCATCGGCTTTGGTCTTTGGTTCCAGTTATAATAGGTGACATTTTGGTGAATAGTAAATCACACAGACCTCATGAAGGAGTAAGTGTGACGGGACTTCCCTGGGGGTTGTGATCTTTGCAGAAGGCTCTGCTGATCTCAGAGCCTACCCAGCAAACTGAGAGTCAGTTGACAGGACTTGGAAGACTGCCTATGGCACAGCCACTGTTAGGGACGCTGACAGGCACTACTAAGAAATGCCTGGGACTGCCTGCTCCTGCAGAAGGATCTAACCACAGGTCCCCAGTCAAGGCTGCTCCCAGACCCACATCCCTGAAAGCCTCGTTGCATCCTCTAGCCGACTTTTCTTTGAAGATGGAGCCAATGTCTCCATTGTTTTCCCATGTTTCAGTCTCACCTGACTGTTCCCGGCCACTGGAACATGGATCCCATCTCATCTTGTTCTGCTAGCTTCAGGGGCCTCTCAGCTGCTCAAAGCCCCCACAGAGGTGACTCATTCCTAGATCTGAGAGGTGTCCTTGAGCTGCCTAGGCAGTGCCAATACCTCAGCAGGCAGATGTGAGATTGTCTGGCTGTGGAGTGCCCCCGAGGGAGACACAGCAAACACGGCTGGTCTCCAAGCATGCAGAGCCTCCGTAGCTAGAATCACTGCAGAGGCGATTAAAGTTATCATAGCATCTCTGTGTGGTGAGGATATAACCTCATGAAATCCTTAGCAGTGCAGGGAGGCTGGGGAGAAGGGTGGGAGGTGTCTCAGGCTACCTTTGTGAAGAGCACACAGATGCATACACACATGCACACTTCGTGACTCTGACAAACACCCTCTCACAATTCACACAGCACGTACTACATGCATGTGCATTCACACAGTAATGTGCACACTCACAGCACAGTCACCTACACGTTGGCCATACGCATTCTCATGAAAGAAGGAAGGGCCGTGAGAGAGAAAGTCTGATAAGCTGGCACAGACAAGTTTCACAGTCTAAGGGAGGCTGGTTAGGAGTCGAGGGCTCTAAAAAGCAGGTATGCTACAAATCACTACACTTGCCCCGCAGGACATAACTGGAGTCTGTTGCAGTATTGGTCCAAGTGGACTCATGACTCTAAATCAATGCTGAAGCATAGCAAGGTTCAATATTTAATGCTGAATTTCTTTGGTTGAATGAAGATGTGTCTCTGATATCTCAGAGGCCCTATGGAAGAAAAGATGTGACGGGCAGGCCCAGGGGAGCAGTCTGAATGGCATCCCACCCTCTCCCACACTGTTCTTCCCTGTTAGGACTGAGAAACACACACGAATGCTATTGACCAGCCTGACCAAGGACAAACAATGTAAAACACTGTATTTTCCTCTGGATGGTCTGAATCTACAGTACACACACAGCATGGTGGGTTCTGCACACGTCAGCTACGCAAGCAGGTAAAGAAGCCCGGTAGTGAAAAGAGCTGAAACGGCCTGGTGGTCCCTGGCTACCCACCTGGAGGATGGGTGCAGAATGCTGCTTTAAGGGAGAGCGTCACAGAGGAGCCTGTAAATGTCAGATCTGCCTGCCAGTCTGCTTACTCAGATACTGAGTGTCTGCCTCTAGATGGCACTGCCCACCACGGGCTGCAGAAGGTGCCGCCTCCAATGCTCTCGGAACTTAGCTGTGGCCTGTTCTCCGAGAGGAGGTTGTCAGCAAGGCTTTGCTCTGTGAAGCAAGTCACAGAGACTCTTCACATATGCAGAGGAGCCCAGTGCTCAGGGCTATGAAATGCACTAATTATTTGTGGGTTATGTGAACAGTATGTCTGTATGTAGGTATTGCAATATGTAGGTATTGCAGTATGTATGCATATGCATGGTGGTGTGCAGGTGTGTGCACATGCATGTTTGTGGTGAGCAGGTGTGTGGATGCACATGTCTGTGGTATGCATATTGTAACTGTAAATGTGTATAAGTATGTGGGTTTACACATGTGCAGTGTACATATATATGTGTGCATATGTGGTGTGTGTATGTGTATGTGTGTGTACATGTGTGTGCATATGAACCACAAATTGGAAAGAGAAAGACAGAAAGGAAAGGTGGACAGTCTCATAGGTTGGCATCTCTGGACTCATGGGCTCTCACCTCTGTGAGGACCTCCCCTAGGACAAGACATTTGCTTTTACAAAAAGCTCATTGTTGACGTCTATTCTTTGAGGTGGGGCTTTGTACCCAAGTGTTCATGAAAATGACAAAAGAAAGGAAAAGAATTTTTCACCTGTGATGACCATCACACCCCGGTTAGCCCCTCCCTGTGGAACAGAGAACTTGATTACTACATGCTCACATTGGAACACAATCCAGTCCGACAGCGGCTGACTTCCAAAGCCAGGTCTCCATCGAAAAGTGTGTGGGCATCTTTCCGAAGCATAGGCTCAGAGGGGCTGGGGCCACCTCTCTGAAGACCACAGCCATTGGCTGCTTCCTTTCCCACAGCTCCACAGCAGGCCCATTCTCAGCACCCAAGATGCCCTCAGGCTGTCAGGCCAGGGCCATGTCCCATCTGGGTGCAGGTGGTGAGCAGGCAGAGGTGCCAGGTGGTCCCCAGTGAAGATGCAGGTGTGAGGTGACCAAGGACAGCCCCGTGTGAGCGTGCTCTGGAGGGCCACTGCTGTGGTCCCTAGAGTAAAACCTAGCACACAGGTACCAAAGGCAGGAACACCAGCTGGAGTCTTTGTGGAGGTCTCCCAGCTTCCCTCCTAGCAGTAAGGGAAGGTGCTATAAACAGAAAGCAGGTGACAAGCTTATGGAGAGTTACCTCCCACCTTGGAACCAGTGGCGGTGTGTGTGGCCCAGTGTTCTCCTGAAGAGCTCTTTCACAATTAAAGGGGTCATGACTGAGGGGCATGAACCACTTCTGAGCCACTTGGTCACTTGATGACCCTCCCAGCCCATTACCTTCCCAGAGCAGAGTGTCACTCTCTGCTCTGAAGCTCCTGCAGGGACAGGACACATGGTGGCACTGGTGCCGGAGTTGTGTTCCCAACCTGGTTACACTGTAGTTTCATTTTTCCAAGGTCCCGTTCGGATGTTCCCTGTCCCATCAGTGCCAAATGGCAGGCCTTCTCGAACATCACCCTGGAGCAGCCCATTCTGGCTGGGGCCCCCGAAAGGCAGAGACTGTGTCCTTCGTAGCATCTCCAAGTGGGCAGGGCCTGGGGACAGTCGTGGGGGACAGCCATAGAGCCCAGGGCTCATGTCCCCACCCTCAGGCTGGGTGACCATGGGGAAGGGATCGGCCTGGGCACAGCAGGCCAATGTATGCACTCCTACTGGTCCCTCAAGGGAGCTGGGGGGGCTGTCTGTGCGCGAGCTGTGGGGGCTGCCATCCAGACTGGAGGGGATGTGGTAGGCATACTCCCTCTCGGCTGCGGCTGCCTGGTGCCGGCTGAAGTAGTGGGGCTTAGTTCTGCCCTTGAGGCACCTGTGCAGGTGAGGGTCATGCAGGTGGGGATCGTGAGGGAAGGTGTCCTCCTCAGCCATGTGCATGTGGGCCTCCTCCTCCATTAGTTGCTCGCAGTGCATCTTGGCGCAGCAGGGGGTGGCAGGTGACAGACAGCTGACATGGCCCTGGGCAGCCTGCAGGTTGGTCATCTTGCAGTGGCTGGCTGGTGGATGGCCAAAGGCTCTGAGTTTTCCAGGGCATGGTGAGTCCTGCAGGCAGGCTGTATGGCCCAGCGCATCCCCATTGGCGTTGAGTGTAGGGTGGGCACTGGGCTTGGTGGCTGAGGTGTCTCCCCGAGAGGGGCAGCATGACCACCAGCACTGCCACACATCCTCCCGCTTGGCACAGTGGTGGATAAGTACGAAGAGGCCCAGCGTCACGCAGAAGGCGCCATACAGACAGCTGAAGATCATGTCCAGGAAGTGGCCCTGAGACACAGCCAGGGCCCCGAAGGTCCATGTGGCTGTGAACAGGAACAGCGTGAAGGCAGCCGCACGCAGCTGGGCCTTGAAGGAATGCTCATTCTGCAGCTGGGAGGCAGCCAGGGCATCACAGCTGGGTGGTGGTGTGCCGGGACGTACCCCATGGCGATGGCCACTCTCTGACACCGCCAACCGCTGCTGCTCCTCGGCGCGCTCTCTGAGCTCGTACCTGCGCTCTGGGTGACGTCGCAGCTGCACATACGTGCAGAGGAAGTATACACAGGTGACCAGGGCAATGAAGGCAGCTGGCCCATAGAATGCACCCAAGCTGGGTTCCCAGGCCATCCAGCAGCTGCAGGGAGAAGTAGGCAAGTGTGGGTATGCAGCTGGAGTAGCTTCTCTCCCCTGCCCATCAGGACTGAGTGGGGTTTCCTACAAGCGGGGATTTTAATTGTGATAGGGACACAGATGGCTCTGGAGACTGGTCAGCCATGATGTTTGGGTTGATGGGGACAGAACTGCAGTCTAGATGAGTGTTTGGATCCGGATGGTTGGTTAACTCTGGGTGCTGGTCCTCAGGAGGTGGGCAGGGGTGGGACAGAGTCAGGTGTGGGGTGGAGGGGACAAGGAGGCCCACTGAGGTGGACAGGAAATTGTCCTGAGTAAGGAGAAGTGGGCACAGACAGGTTCTGATGGGCAGGGCATGGGGCCCACTATGGCTTGAGTGAGGGCTGGACATCCTGGGATCCTGAGGAGATGCTGAGAATGATGAAGGTTCCACCAGGACTTCGGGCACCTGTGGGGGTGGGGCTGGGTCTGTCTCTGTTCCAGAGGTATGCCGTGCTTAGCTGACCTATCTGGTCCCAGGCTATAAAAAGGAAGGCCTTTGGTGTCTGAGGAAATAGGGCCAGTGGTAAGCTGAGGGTGTTGGGAGAAGGGCTCAGCTCACACAGAGGCTGGGGAGACACGGCCCCGAGCAGTCTTCTGGGGCCCAAGGCTTTCTGTTCACCCCAAGGGCTTGCTTTACCACAGGTGTCTTGGAGGACAATCACTAACAAAGAATGGTTATGACATGCCTGTGGGCACCTTCCCTGCCCTCCCCAGCCCTGGGCACAAAGTTGACAAATTCCTCAAGTGTCAGGGATGACCCCAGGAGGAGCTGGACAGTGCTCCCAACTTTTCACTGGCTCACAGGTAGGAAGTACTCACTATGCCACGTCCTCATCCTCGGTCCCATAATTTCTGATGTTTGTGGCAGCTGTGACCCCACAGATGATGAAAGGGACCCCTCCGCTGATGAGGTAGAACCTGCCAGAGACCAGAAGGCTGACTTCCCAGGAATGGCCCAAATCCTCATGGAGAAACGAGGCCACCCTCCCCCTTCCCCGGTGCAAAAGGGAGGTGGCTGGATTCCAGGGTCATGCCACCCTTTAGACAGGCACATGTCCAGTGGGGGAGCCTGCTCTCCTCCCACTTGGTTCTGGCTGGCAGGGGCTCACTGTGAATCTGCAGACTCAGTGGGACCTCGTGGAGCCTGGGCTGGGAGCAGGGCAGATGCGAGGAGGAACAGCCAGTATATCCATAGGGCAAGCAGGTTATGGAGGGCACTGAGTGGGGCATCCCTATCCTAAAGTGATGTGCTGAGTGGTGGCCCAGTTGGACTCCCTTTGGGCCTGTCTTTAGCCAGAGCCTAGCTCACACCCCTCCCCTCCCTGTCAGCAGTGCCCAGTGATCAGTGGATGAGTGTATTGTTAGACCTAGTTTTAGGGTGAGGAACCTGACTCACCTTTGAGCTATCCATGGGGGGACAGCTGATCACCCTGGTAGGAGTAGGCTGTGGCATGGACTGACCTCCCCTCCATGGGCCTCAGATGGTAGCTTCACTGAGGGTGATTCAGTGTTCAGCCCTCTGGATGCCTCCTATTTGCCTTCAACTCCACTGAGCATGTGTGTCCTAGGCTTAGCCTGTGCACACACCGATTCTGTCATATCAGGAATGACTGATAGCTTCCCACTTTGCTGAGCCATGTTGGTGACACCTCAGAGAGGATTTCCATGAGAAAGTGGCTGCTATTACAGACACCCTGAGTAGACAGTGTGGCACAAGTTTGAGGACAGCCTGGGCTGCCCAGCAGTTAAGCTTCAGGCAAGCTAGTGCTACATAGAGATACCTTTTCTGAAAAGAGACGAAAACCAAGTGCAGCAGGTATGCTCTCTTGCAGAAGAAATAACCACAGTTTGTGCTTGGGCGAACTACACTGGAAGGAAGGTCCCATGACATGCCTCAGGATGGTGGCATGCTGCATTGAAGGGAGCTGGTCATCAGGAAGGGAGAATGCAAGGAACTCAAGGAATACAAGGATTAGGGAAACTAGAAAAGATTTGTTTTCTCTTTAACATCTTCAAAATACAGATGAGTATAAAAATGAAGAAGTCTGACCATCTGTGAGTTCACAAATAAAACGGAGGGTGGGGTGGGGGTGACACTTGTGGCATTTGTGACATAAAAGATGAGGTAGAGGTGGTCTTGAGTTACAAGGTATCTCTGGATGTTTTATGTGACATAGTACAACTTTATTTCACTTAGATTGTGAACAGATTGGTCATTTTAATCTCTAAGGAGGCTGCAAGACACTAAGAGAGGAAAGCTAATTAATACATTGAATTTGAGATGAAAATATAGTAACAACACAAATGTAGGAAGAAAAGGAGGAATGAAAGAATGGAGACTACACCAAAACAACCTGGCAGAAGAGGCAGAGAAAGAAGAGAAAATAAAATGGAGACAATCTAATCAAGTGAAAAATCAGTTACATTTTAACAGTGTAAACAGTCTACCTCAATGCCAAGATTGTTAGAACAGAGAGAAAGGAAAGACCCAGCTGGAGATAGTCAAGAGTAGAAGAGATGGGTATGGTTGGAAGCTAGTGGTTCTCAATTTGTGGGTCACGACCTATTTGGGTTCAAATGACCCTTTCACAGTGGTTGCATATCAGGTATTAGCATTATGATTCATAGTAGTATCAGAATTACAGTTATAAAGTAGCAATGAAGGTAATTTTATGGTTTGGGGGTGACCACAACATGAGGAACTATAAATGGTTGTGGCATTAGAAAGGTTAAGAAGCTGGAATGTAAAAAATAAATTAATTACACACACACACACACACACACACACACACACACACACACACACACACACTGAGAACCACTGCTGTAAGCCAAGGAAGCCTGCTAGGCCAACATCAGAAGGGAAAACAGGCTCCGGTATGATATGATATTTGCATTTTCCAGGGAGGCAGCACAGCTACCAAACAGACACCAATAGAGGGTTCAAAATACCAGAACAAATGTTGTCAGATAGAAAGGAAAAGTAGCAGTTCCTAAATTATAGGTGGTATTAAAGTTCTTTCTCTCAGAAAGAGATAGAACAACTAACTAAAAATCAATGAGGAAACAGAGGCTGTGAACATAGTATTTGAAGAAGTTGACCTCAAGACTCCTTGTAACTTGTGGGAACAACAGACCTTGGCCAGAGGCCCACTTCCCCATCAGCCTGGGAGCAGGCAGCTGAAAGACAATGTTTACTAAAAACAATACAGTGCCTGGAGCAATAAGTTCCTGATAAGGGCTGTCCCATGGAAATGTCCTGACCTTGAACTTTCCAAAGACTAACCACCTCTTTCTGACCCACCCACCACTGCTTCTGGTGTCAGGGTATATATAACCAGCCAGGGTAAGAATAAAGTAGAGCCTTCTAGAAGCCACCAACTGGTCTTTGTGTCATCAATCCCGACACCCTCCGCACAATCTCAGACACAGGCTGCGCAGCAGGCATGGCAGTAACATATCTCACACTACAGCGTCACCAATGTCACCCACCTTGTTCACCATGACATCAGTGACATTTACACATTATTCTCCAGAATGTGTGACTTGTTCACACAAATGAGAGTAGTACCCACATATCTTCACTTAGTGTATGTGGCCCAAGAACTGTGGTGACCATAATATTCATAATCCTTCAGGGTGTGTTTTCACCATGTCATCCATGTCACATAGTCCTCTGCTGTGTGTGACCTGTTGTAGGTGTGAGCCCACAAAACTCTTCACGCCCATAAGCGCAGAGATAGGGAAATTTAGCACAGGTGAGGATAAAAGAAAGTGAAAGAGAAGAGGAATCTCTCTTCTCCTCTGGAAACCTGACACGCTTTCTGTCCCTTCAGCTTGTATGTAAATAAATATATTACATTCCATATAGCATTGATCTCCCGCCTCAATCTGTCAACCATGGTATCTCTGCATCCTCCTCCAGAGCCTGTAGCATGTTCACCATGAAAACTGGCATTGACAGCAAGCACCCATTTTCTTCCACTGTGCATATAGTTATCACCATGGCAACAGTGACATCCTGTTTCATTGTATGTGGCCTATTCACTATGTTAATAATGGTATTCATATACCCTCCTTCACTGTGCATGTGGTCTGTTCACCATGGCAACCATAGTATCCACACATCCCTCTCCACTGTGTGTGGCTTGTTCACCGCAGCAGCATTGGTACCTTCTATTACTCCTTCATTGCCTGTGGCATACTCACTGTGACAACAATGATATTCTTCAGTAGTTTTGGGCTCTTCACTAGGTATACGCCATGAAAGACGCAAACATTCAGAAGATTTGAGATCATGCAGTGCATATTCTAGAACCACAAATAAATTAGATGGGAAGTTGATGATAATATTATAACCAAGATGCCACAAACACTGTGGACTTAGCAATGCATTTATAAATCATTCACAGAACAAGGAAGAAATCATAAAGGATCAGGAAGTACCTTAAACAATACCAAAGAAAATCATATGACACATCCAAATTTTGTGACTGCAGATACAGCAGGGCTGAGTGGGAAATTTATAGTTTCCAATCTTCCATTAGAAAGAAGCTGAAGATCTGAAATTTAGTGATCTAAAATTCTACCCCAACAAGGTAGAAAAACAAAAGCTCAGGGTAGGCCCCTGATGAACATGATAAAGAACAGGGAATCTCGTGAAAACTTGCTCTTCCACAGCAAAACCGCTGAGGCTATGAACCTTAGACTACATAAGGAGAGGAGAAGCGCTGACAAGATGGCTCAGAGGGCAAAGGCCTTGCCTTGCAAGCACAAGCTTGATCTCTAGGACCCAAGTAAAGGTGGACAGAGAGAACCGATTCCTCCAAGTTGTCCTCTGACCTCTACACACATGCCATGGCTTGTAGATCCCCCCACCCCCCACATATTGTGAACACACAATAATGGTAGTAAAATAACTAAAAAGATGGTTTGAGAAGATTAGTTCTTAATCTTAAGAAACAGTTATTGTTATGCATCCTGCAGACACATTGCAAGAATCAAAGGTATATATAGTGAATAATGGTATGCCAACAGATTCAGTAACTTTGGGAAAATACATATATTCTTTGGGGAAAAAATAAAACCAAAAACATTAGAAAATCTTGCTTCAATTGATACCTGAAGGCAACTGGAAAATCAGTTCTCTCCAGTAGAGTGCCTCTGGGTGTATCAACCACACTCCAGGCAAGCCCCTTGCCCAAGAAGATACCAGCTTTTTGGGGGGTGGGAGTGGACTTTTTGTTTAATTTTGTTTTGGCATTTTTACAGTATTAATTGTTTTTTCACTGTTTGTTTTGATTCTCATTTTATGTCTTGTTTTTGAGAAAGAGAGAGAAAGAACACTAAGTTGGGTGTGTAGGAAGGTGGGGAGAGAATCTGGGAGAAGATGGGGAGGGGAAAATTATAATCAAAATATATTTCATAGAAAAAAGAAAAGAAAATCTTGCTGTGCCTGATGGCACATACCCCCTCTGGGAGGCAGAGAGGAGGATCTCTCAAAGTTCAGGGTTAGCCTGTGCTACATAGCAAGATGTTGTCTCAAGAAACAAAAAACAGGGCTGTGTCAAGGTGAAGCTGAATACATCCCTCCCCGCAACCGGCTGCCAGAAACTCATCGAAGTGGACGGTGAGCGCAAGCTTCGGACGTTCTACGAGAAGCGCACAGCCACAGAAGTAGCCGCCGATGCTCTGGGTGAAGAGTGGAAGGGTCATGTGGTCCGAATCAGTGGCGGGAATGACAAACAAGGTTTTCCCATGAAGCAAGGCGTTTTGACCCACGGCAGAGTGCGCCTGCTGTTGAGTAAGGGGCATTCTTGCTATAGACCAAGGAGAACGGGAGAGAGGAAACGCAAGTCTGTTCGAGGATGCATCGTGGACGCCAATCTGAGTGTGCTCAACTTGGTTATTGTAAAAAA